AAATGTTTAGAGAAGTTTCAAGTGTCAGAACAGAAGTGAGACCTGGATATGTTGAAGCTAGGGCTGGAAAGTAAGAGTGAAGTGCAAATGATTGTGGACCTTGTCTGTGGTAGTGGGGGATAAGATAAGAGTAAAGGATGGGCACAAAGCAAGAGAGGCTCCTGAAAAACCTTATGCTGTGTGGGAGGATGTAATACAGGTATCTCAGAATAGACCAGGGCAGTGTTACTGCTTTTTTTTCTGAGCAATTGAGATGAGATGGTGCCTGACGTTGGCCATCTCATTGGCAAGCAGCTGCCATCCCAGCAGGAGCTCCCAGCAAATGATTATGGAGCTGGAGGGCAGACGTTTTTAAATGACTGTTTAATGAGGTACCTTGTCTGGATGGCTCTTGCAGGAGCAGAGAGCAAGCCTGGGAGAGGACCTGGAACATCAAGAAAAACTCCTTTAGGAATAACATCCCAGAGGTGGTGACTTAACTGCTTGGCGTTGCCCTTGTAGCTGTGACTGCCAATAGTGTCTGCTGTAGGAGCCAGTTCTGGGTTGTATGTCGGTAAGGAGAGAGGTTTAGAGGATGTGGGTCACTATTTCCTACCTCTGCTAGTCCCTTAAAAGTAACAGGGTGAGTAACCTCTGCGAGTGGGTTGCTGCTCTTTTAAACTCCACTGAAGTGTGTGGGGGCTGGTAATGAGAAGGGAAGGAGTTAACTGAATGTGGTTTGAATTAGTGCTGTATTACCAACTTGGCTATGTTGTCATGGCATAATTGTATCTGATACTGTTTTGTCAGTCAAATGACAGGTAGTACAAGTTCAGCATTGCCTGCTGCAGCAGCAGATTATTTTAAGATAATCTAAGGAGGAAATGACAGCAAATATGACAATGAGCAATAAAAGCCAAAGCGGTTCTGTTCAAAAATCTCTTCTAAACTCTTGCTCTTGGGACACTGGTGTTTCAGGACACCGAAGATTTCAAATCACATCACCTTAATACAGGGAATGTGAAGGATGACTGTGGAAAACAACAGTGAGGTTTTGTGTTCCTCACCAGGGTGGAAGTGCTGAGTCTATAGAGCGATAGCTTTTTCACATCTGACCACAAATGCTTCCATGCTGAGTGCCCCAGAAGCTGTAGCAAGAGCGCACACGTACTCCCAAGCCCTTCTTGATGCCATCTCTATTAAATCCGTGCCAGCTGGAGGAGAAGCGCAGACATCTTGGCAGCTGGGAGAGGAGGCGATAACAAAAGAAAAACTGCCTGCTAAAGAGAAGGATGTTTCCAGCAAGCTGCTGGTTTCAGACGGAGTCTCACCCTGCTGGCATAGTGTGCTTCAGGCCCTGGGATTTGCTTGGGTGGAAGGTGTTAAAGCCAACATCTGAGCAGATTTCAGGGGATTCTGCTTAAGATGTGCTTCATTTTGCATCCCTGTTAATGCTTCTTGAATGGCTTTGAAGGTGGCATCTAGTTTATATTGCCTGCTCTACTTGAGGCTAAACCAGCAATAGCTTTTCTTTAAGGCTTGAGGGAGGGGAAAAAAAAAAAAATTGAATTGCCTTTTGCTTAGGAATAATTTAAAAGTTTAAATTTTTTGGTTTGCAGACATGCAACTTGGCAGGCTGAAAGTATTTTGTCACGAGAGGCTCTAATCTGGTAACCCTTCAATTTAAACTATAAAGGCTAATTAATTTAAATTGCACTACATGCCCTATCTTGGAAAGAGTTTTCCTACTGTGCTGGGCAGCTGTTAGTGTTACAGTCCCTTGAGGGGGATGTCGAGACAGATGAACTCAAGGTGGTGTTTGAGCAATCAGCGTTTAAAGGTGTCAGTGCTCTTGCGTGGATATCCTGGCTGTGGCACCCCCAGGAGCTGCACAGGAGAGGCACTGGGTACTTGGTCATTGAACACCAACGTGTTTCTCATGTTGCCTCTCTATTCCCTTGTGCAAAATGGGTCCAAATAAGCAGAAATCCTTGTCTGGCCACCCGGTGATGGAGGCACAGCCCTGTGCCACCTGCAAATGAGGATTACGAATTAAGGCACCTTTTTTCTTGAGTTTCCTTCCATTTGCCTGAGAACCTGCCATGAAAGTGCTTGTCTGACTGTGAAAGCTCTTGCGATGTGAAGAGGCTGATTTGCATCTGCTCTATTCGGCCACCAAGAGCTGTAAAAATACGCGGTTGCTTGTTTGGTTTCAAGCTGTCGAAGTGCAACTAGGAAATGCACCTTCAGCTTGAAAATGACCTTGTCTGGTGTTGGGGAAACCTTGTTGTAATTTAATACAGTGATGGATCCTCGGGAATCCTCACCAACATCTGGGAACTGACCGGGATGAACTTGGGAGTGGAAGTACAAGTGCGTGGTTGTAAAGGCTGCGTTGTCCTCGTTCAGTCCTGATTGCTGACGACAGGTCTGGGCTCACGTTGGCACAATGTGTTTGCTGCTGGTGAATGAGCTGCTTGTATCTGGCTGTTGTGTAACTGTTCAGAAAGCAGCAGTTGTGTTTGCTCTTTCACAGCCACTGCTATAACCTGTGCTTTAACAGTCCTGCCAGTGCTTTTAATTGCCTTATCAGCCTAAAAGGATTTTCCTAGTGATAACTAGGATTTTCCTACTGATTCCTGAAGGAATGTGAAACAAGCAGACTAAAAGGTGTGCAAAGTTCCAAGCAAGGGAATAATTTGTAGCCGTCACAAACCCTACAAAGTGACCTCTTCAGGGGTTTGATTTCTTTGTTCCTTTGCTGGTGTGACATGAAGTAATGAGACTGAGAAGTGAATTCTGCTTTTTAGAAAGCACTGCCACTTTCACACCCTGTTCATGGTGCTGTTCCTCAGAGCTTCCTGAGGCTTCAAGGATACAAGAATGAAATGGAATGCAGTGTTGGCCTCTCTGGGTGTTGCAAGAGGCTTGGGAAGCGCTTTCCTGGAAGCCGTGCTTCCCAAAGGTAGCACTGGAAAGCTTGTCTGCTGCTTTTTTTTTTTTTGAGGAGTATGCCCCAGCCCAGTTTTCACAGCCTGACATCCCTGAAAGCTATTTTTTTTTTTTTTTTTTTTCCCCTGTCGGTCTGATAATCTAAAAATTATTTTTCTCTTCCAACAAAGCTCACCTTCCTTGTAGCAGTGCCCTTCTGGGATAGCATGCTGCTGCGTTGCGTGGACGTGCAGGCTGGGACATCTGGAGCCTCGATGCTAGAATTGAATGGGACCTTGGGTCTTTTAGTTCATCCAGGATCTCTTGAGTCATTTATCCAAATCCAGCCAGGCTCAACGTCATTCCTTTGCCCTCAGCAAACCCAGTTCTGCAGCTCAGTGTGAGCCTTTTAGGCTGAGGAGCCCTGAAGCCACCGGCTGGTCCAGCTCCTTTGCAGTGACCTCCTGGAGTTGCGGGCACAGGAGGCAGAGTAACCCAGGACCTGCACTTCTGCTGACACGCAGTAACGCCGTGCGTGCCTTTCACATGCTTCATGGCTGGGACACGGCTGCTGCTGACTGCACAGCTCAATAAACCGTGATAACGTGACGGTTTTGAATCCCGGAGGGAGGCGTCTGCGGCGCCGAGCTGTGCGGGTGTCAGCTGCTGCACGGGTGTGCAAAGGTGGTTCCTGCCTCGTGCCTGTGGGAGGGGGACGCGGTTTGTGAAGTGCTCTGTGGTTCGAGAGAAAAAGCTGTGAAAAACAGATTAACTAGCTGTTATTTTGCAGACAGGCAGGGGTAGCTCAGCCCCCCCCACCCCCCAGGTCTGCAGAGATTTGGCAAGCCAAGTTCCTCTGCCTTTCTCTGAAGGAAGGCTGTTTGCAATGCAGGCATGTCCAAGGGCCACAGCCTGCAGGTCTGATATTTCAACTGGAAATCATCCTGTGGCAAAGGCTCGTTTCCGAGCTAAACCCGTTGGTCTCTTGATCCTCAGTTTCCCAGAATAATAAACCCTGTATTGTGGGAAATGATAGAGAATAGAGCTTATTAATCAATTGAAATTTGCCTTGCGTGTTCTGTGGGTGGGTGTGTATGGGTGTGCCGTGCTGTAGATCCCGGCGTTGTCTGGTGGCTGTGGGAACCAGCTTTGGCAGCTGGAGGGTTAGAGCAGGAGCCCAGGTCCCTGATCTTCCTGCTGGTGGTTCAGACACCTTAGCTGCCACTTCAAGTCTAGACAGGTATCTTCTTTGAATTTTGCCAGAACTGTTTTAAGAGGTATCTAGCTCAGGAGTGATACCGGTGTGCTTTCCACTATGCACTAGTAATGGATCACAGGAGTGCACTTAGTCTTTCCACTATGGGGGGAAAAAAAAGTGTTAGTTTGAACGATTATGGCCAACGTTTGGCTGACTCTGTGCTAAGTGGACAAGGGAACTTGCAAGATCTGTTTTGGTGTTCCTGCTCTGACATAGTAACATGTTTCTGGGCTTTAATGTCTTAAGCTGCTTCACCTGGCTCTGCAAGAACAATTTCTACTTCCCTGCTGCTGTATATCATACAAGATTGCTTCGAAATCAGATGTTCCTAGTAAAAATGCTCTGGGATCTGTGATTACATCCACCTGGTTATTTAAGGCTGATGCTTTTATCTTGCACAGCTCAGTAATTGTGGGTAGCAGCTGATGGCATTGATGCACATAGCTGTAGGGCTGCCTTGGACTGTAGTTACTGAGCTGGAGGAGAGGGATGGAAGATAGCCTACTAGATAAATCCTTGTCCCAGTTTTTCAGACCTAGCCTCAGTGATCTAGAAGTGTACTCTGGAAATTCAGAAATTCTAGGGGGTTTTTTAGCAGCTGAATGCATAATGGCTGTCAGCATCTGTAAATAAAACCCGGGAAGGATGTACCTGTGGCTGTGCTCTTCAGCAACCCCTTCCAAAGGGCTGGGACAGCTGCTCTGGAGCTCTGTTACCAGCAGCAAGGCACGAGAAGTATCTTACTCCAGACCCTGTCAGCTTGTGCGTGGGAACTGGGCTTTTCCTTTTAATTTCATGTGGTTGCTAATGGGAATATTTTTGTGCTTTTCAGGTGCTGGAGAGTCTGGGAAAAGCACCATTGTGAAGCAGATGAAGTAAGTGAGAGTTCAGGCATATAAACTGCATTTTTGTATGAGATAAAGTAAGAAATCTGTGGTGCCCTTCTGGTTTGGCTTGAGAATGACGGCTTGGTTTTCTTCCAGGATTATTCATGAGGATGGCTACTCAGAGGAAGAATGCAAACAGTATAAAGTGGTTGTCTACAGCAATACTATCCAGTCCATCATTGCAATCATAAGAGCCATGGGAAGGCTAAAGATAGACTTTGGGGAAGTTGCCAGAGCAGTAAGTATTTCACTTATTTCCCTTAGTCTGAGTCTGTGATGTGAACTGTGTTAATGAATCCTGGAAATTGTTTGTGACACTCACAGTCGAAATAAGTTTGTTACAAGATACAGTAGTGAAAGACTTTTCATAATCTGTAACGTATTACCAGTACAAAGTGTCAAATATTTTACTGAGGTTACAGATAAGAACCTTCAATAGTTTGAATGCTTAAAAAAAAAAAAAAAAAATCCTCAAACCATTGCCTAAACTATTTGAATTTTTAACAAAACTCTCAGCTTTGGTTTAAATTGCTTGACATCAGTCTTCAGTAGTGTTTCACAGCATTATGCCAGTTAATCTTTAAGCTGAGCCAAATAAATTTTATTTGCTTTCACTATTCATGCTTGTCCTCTTTGGTTTTTGAGGGTTTGAGGCCCATCTAGTTCTGTGGATTCTTTGGGCTGTTACTAGCATTCACCTCCAACACGTCAAGATGGTAGAAATTGAAATCGTGAAGTCTTGATCCCTGTGGTAGTGGGGAAAGCACAGACAGAATGGGAAGTCAGGGACTCCTGAAAAGGGGTAGGAGAAAGGAATTGTGTGTATCAGCATAGGGCAGTGGCTGTACAGACTGTGACTCTTGCTATCTGGCACTAATTCCTCATGCTTACAGTTAATGTATGGTAAAGTGAAGTAATCTATCTTGTTTCTTTGTGATGCAACCACAGATAGTTTGAAGGTAAGATATAATGCATCCTGGCTGAAGGGCACATCTTCACTTGCATGCTAACCTAGGCTGTTCTTCAGTTGCTGCTCCAAATCCTCCCTGGAGTTCCCTTCCACTTTCTTCTATGCTTGATCTCAGCCTAACTAAGGTAGCTGGAAGGAGGAAGATGTTAAAATCTGAGATCCTTTCTCAGTTGACTTGCCCAGGCTCAGCTGGCTTCTCAAAAGCAGAACAAGAGACATGTGCCAAGAATTTTCTCATGTCCCAATCCACCCTAAAAGGCAAACAACTTTTCATGCTTTCCTAGGAAAGACCATGGGTAACCAAATCGACTGTCTCGCAGCAAACCACAGTGGTGACCTGTCAATATAGCACCACACCCATAAGTGCTGTACCTGCAAAGATTCAGAACTGAGGTCCACCTCTCGTGGCAGTTCAGACCTTGATTAAGTTAATTTAGATGCCCGTTGCTTGTGCTAGAGAGGTACTCTTTGGAGTAGCATGCTGACTTGAGTATTGCCCAAGTTTAGGTACGTGCTGGGCAGTACTATGTAGGACTCCAGTGAGAGCACCCCACGTTAGGAGGAGACAGTCTGAAGTTGAGAACTTGCTGGAGTAGCGAAAGGTCTCTTACACCTCCTGAAGGATGCTGGCACATCTGATCACTGTAGAAATAAACATCAGTGTGGGATCTCAGTCAGCCTGTTTTTTCACTTTCAAAATGTGCTTGTTACCTTGTAGAAGTGAGGTCTAGCTCTAAGGCTTCTGAGAAGAATTTTTCATGCTCTAAGGCAAACACTCAAATCCTGATCAGTCCATCTCATCTCCTGATGAAACACTTTGTGAAGAAATCAGTCCCCCTTACTTCTGACAGCTATAGCAGCAGATGGCAAGTCCTCAAAGCTTTAAACCTGTAATCATCCAAAGCTTGGTTTTCGTACTGAATTTTTGCCTTGTCACCATGCTGTACAACACTATAATAAAGGTTTTCCAGTTTAGAAACTATTATTTATTGTTTAGTTCATTAGTCTATAGTAGCACACTGTCATTCTGCCCTTTTCTCTGAAGCATTATGCCACGTTACTGATACTTCATGTTTCTGGTGTGAACGCTGCCTCTTACTTTGGAGCGGTGATCCCTGCGGCAGCAGTGCGACAGAAGTGTTGTGTGCCACCTGTGATCAGGGCATCTTGCCCCACAGGCTGGAGCTGCTTGCCCAGCATTTGCCTTTCTGACTGCAGGAGAAAAATAACTTGATGATGTGGGGGAGAAGACTGGTTAGACAGCAGGAGAGAGGGGGCCATGATTCCTTGGAGAAGTTGCCACAGCCCCTAGGATTGCTACTAATGTTAAACCCCACTGTCGTTTGTAAAGGTATAAATGAGTGTACATCCTAACTTGGTTTGATTTCCCCTCTTCCTGCAGGACGATGCCCGTCAGTTGTTTGTATTAGCTGGAAGCGCAGAGGAAGGTGTGATGACTGCCGAGCTAGCTGGCGTGATTAAGCGGTTATGGAGAGATGCTGGAGTTCAGGCCTGCTTCAGCAGATCGAGAGAGTATCAGCTTAACGACTCTGCGTCATAGTAAGAAACCATTATCAGCATCTGGGCTCTTGCCAGCTGACCAAACGGTGTTTGAAAAGGGCCGGTGTGACTGAAAGCAGGGTGGTACGTGGGTGGTGAGGGTCCCCTTCCGAGGGGGCAGACAGAAACCTGAGTCTAACTGGTTTACGCAGGGCTGGGCTCACAGGATGACTTGGTGCTTCAGCTCATCAAAGTCGGTTTTGCTGTTTGTCTTCCCTTTATGTAGTAGAGGGAAAAAAACCCACTTCCTTATTTTGTGCCGAAGTGAATTTGCCAATCTGTTCTTAGCAGAAGAATAACTTAGCAGCTTGCATTAATATGGCTTGTTACAGCAGGTGATCAGCTATGTCACCTTCATTGTCCCTACAGAAAGGAGTAACACCCGAAACCGAGCTCCTGATTAAACTACCACCTTTGTGATGAGCAACAATTTCCAATAGTGGGATGTCCTGATATTGGCAGATCAATGTTCACGTAGTTGTTCTTAACAGCTTTCAAACACTTCAGTTCCTTTGCCTGACACCATGCGGGCAGTGCTGCAGGCTAGCTATAAACCTGCTTATTGTTCTGCTTCTAAAATGCACACAATTGCTTAACAATTGGAAAGTTATGACTAGATAAATAGGCTGCTGCTGGCTGGTTAATGAGAATTTTGACTAAATGCCTCATGTATTTCCAAGAGGCAGGTTAGTGCAGGGAGGGGAAACTATTTCTTTTAATGAGCAAAACAGTTGTTGCTTTTTGGTTTTTTTTTTAAAAGTCATGTGATTGTTCTTTCTAGAACAAATATTTGAAACTCTGAAAGGATGATTTTGGGGTTAAGTGTGCCTCCTGATGTCCAGCTGAAAACTTGCCTCAATTTAGCTAAGTTTGAAGCCTTTGAAAAATTAGCATGGAAGTGCTTTATAAAGAAATGTGTCACAGCTCGGTTGCCTGCAGGCTCTTTCTGTGTGGAGCATATTTTAGCTTGAAAATAAGGAAGAATTTTTCTAAATTTATAACACCTTGGCAGGCTATCATGAGTTTAGATCAAGGTAAGTGAGTTGATAAGAGGAGGCTTTCTTGGATTTGTGTGTGCCTTTACAGCATGCAAGGAGGAAACTTCAGATTCAAAGGGAGAAAAAAGGATAGGTGAGGAGGGAGGATGAGTGAGGGAATAATTTAATGAAAATATGTGGAGAAGGGAAGGAAAGCTTAAGGAGTTCTAAGGCAGAATGCATAAGTGGTTGAGTGGAGCTTAAGTAGGAAGCGAAAGATGGGGAACCTTGGCTTTGTGGTCTTGATGGTCACCTTTGAAAGAGAGGAACGAAGGCAGGCTGGTGAAAACAGGGTAGAAGGGCATCAGAAGCAGAGCAAACTGGGGGGGAGAGGGTGTCAGCCTGTTTTTGTAAGTGCCCACTTGACTGCTTTCCAGAGACTGGATTTTGGAGGGTTATTCTTGAACATCTGCAGCCTGCTCGTGTCCAGTTACTGGTACGTGTAGGCGCAGCTATTGTGACAAATTGCTGTTGTGGACTGGTGTCAAATCTGCGTGGGAGGGAGATTGCAGCCTGATGATGACCCATGTATCTTTTTCTTTTAAAAAAAGAAGTGCATCTGAGAATTTTACGTCCTGTCCTAAGACCACAGGAAGTTGCACGAAAGCAGCATTATTCTGAATTGGTAGCCCAGCAACTCAGCAATTAGGAAGTGCTGCAAGTGGGTTCCTTTAACTAAGAGCACGATCATGCAGCTAAAAACTTGTTTTCTCCTGCGGGACCCCCATCTCACAATGTACAGGATGAGCTGGCCAGATGAGCATTCAGTCAGTACTTTTTCTTCTCTGCTCAATGTGTGGCTCCTGACCCAACTTATCTTCTGGTGTTACCCAATTAGTGCCCTTGTCCATGCTTAAAGGATGGATGTCTTGCAGTTGCTTTTTGTGGTGGTAGTTGTGTAGGTACTAGCTTTTGTGTGCAGTTCTCTTGGGGGGAATTTTACTTCCCTGCTCCTTTCAATATCTCCTACAAACAGGACTGAAACGTCAGGGTTAGCAGCCTTTAAATGTGCCCCACTTGAGATGACTGGTTTTCCAGCTGCAATTCAGCATTGTGCTGTGTTTCAAGCCTGGTTCTGCCTGACTAGGTGCTGACCCTTGCTTCACATCAGACCTCAGGGCCTCTGCTGAGACACCCGGAACGAGGGGGACGCGGGGAGGAAAGAACAACATGTGAGGGGATTGCTCGTGAAAATTAGGTGGCATCAAGAACAAGAGCGCCGTGGCAGAGCGCCAGGGTTTTCAGGGCAGCATCGAGTTGTTCTGAATTCTTCCTGCCGTTTCCTGCCCCGCTGAGCACTTCCCTTGCAGGGATCCTGCTGTGTGGGAGGAGAGGAGGCAGCGCTAATAACGGGGTGTCGTAATCCACATGCAACAGGCGGGGGTAAGCTCCCAAAGATAACAACCACTGGTGACACCAATCTGAATGATCTGTCCCGGAATCAGTGTTTTGCATGTTTTCTTCTTACTTGTTTTGAAGAACAATTGAGTAACTCTTGGTCTAAACTGCGGATGTTCGAGCACTAGTGTAAACACTCAGCGTCTTCCCCAGGCACCATGTGATAATGTCCCTCTAGCAGCCACCCTGCTCTCTTGGTGTGGTATTTCAAACATCTATATTTCTACTTGCCTTATTGCAACTTCCCCTTTTTCTTCACCTGTGACGCGAGCGCGTGGCTCTGTGGCTCACCGCTCCCATCTTGAGTCAATGCCGTGGAGAAGCGCTTCGGACCTTTGTGCACAGACCTCAGGGTGAGAGCTGCAAAGAACAAAAACCTGTTTGCTGGTGTGGCAGTGCGGATGCTAAGGCATATTGCTGTCTTGCACATCTCTTCAGTTACCTCCATCTGATACTTGGAAACGTCGGCAAGCAGATAATGCTTTAAAATGTTGTAGCTGCTGGTTTCACTACTTTTTTCCAAAGTTCAGAGACACTAGTCTGCAGATACTGTAGGTAATTATCTGCAGTCTCACAGGCAATTAGCATAGCTTCTGATCAACCATTCTCTATTCTGGCATATCTTGTCTTGGTCCCAAGTGGCAGTTTTGGCCTGAATTCCCTGACATGATGCTGGATAAAACCTAGATTACTTCTATATGTTTTTTTTCTTCCTTTTGCTTTCAAGCACTAGTTTGCAGGGCATTGTCCTCCCGATGCTTTCTTGTGATTCCCCTCGAGTAGCACTGCCTTGGGATCACAGCTCATTTTTGAAGCGAGCTTTTTCATCTGTAGGTCTGTGCTGCAGACTGTAGGTCTGTCATAGCCGACACAAATGAGCATTCAAATTGATAAAGGGAATACACAACATTCCTTTTTCCTGGGGATCCTGCTCTGTTACCTTCTTTTCTGATTTGCTTAATCTGCCAAAATCCAGCTAAACATGAGGGGAGGGAGGAGGCAGACTTCTGCAAAAGAAATGCATTTCTTAAATGTAGGTTTCACCGGGTCTTCACCTGTTTTCTTCCTGCAGAAAGACCTGGCTAGAGATGATTAATTCAGTATGAGCTGTCAGCCTATGCAGGAAGAATACTGTTTGCATTTTCAGACTGGCACAGGTGCTTGTGATAATGTTTCTGGAAAGCTTGGTGTTTGGTGGCTGCAAATACTGACCCACCTGGGTACCAAACCTGCATCTTTCTGCCCTCTTGTCCCCTCTCCCTGGCAAAGGCTGGCTTTTGTTTGCTGCTCTGCCTTCGGGCATGATGGTGACAGCCCCTCCTTCCCATAGCACAGGCTGCCGATAGCCGTTCATAATAAATGCTTTGTATGAATCTTTCAGAGCTTTCAGAGGCATTTTTGGCCTTGAAAGCATTCTTTCCAGTGCTAAAAGGAAACATGGCTGAATTGTTAGGAAAATACCATTCCAGGGTTTGTGTGAGCATGTGGAGGAGGGGAACTCTGTTATCTTCACCAACTGAAAGCTGTCTGCTTCAGAGCATCCGTCTCCTGCAGTCAGTGTTTCTTAGAGCAGTCTGAGCACGAGATGGGCCGACACTCAATCTAGCAGGTTTTCTGCTCAGACTGGAATTACAGATCCTTGCACACACAGGTATTGAACCAGTGCCAGCCTGGCACAGGACGTCCTGGGAAGGCTTGGAGGGTCACTAAGACAAACACGAGTTACACTGTAGGCTTTTGGTCAGTTTTGGTTTTTTTTGTACGTGAGCCCTCAGTTTAAGGGTGAGAAAAAGAAAGGAAACAAAACTGTCTTTTTGCAAGGTGGTGGCGAAGCGTGGGAAATAGTTGGCTCTGTAAACACAAGAATACAAGGTGGGGACCAAGTGTTGCAAGCTCAGTGTATGAAGGAAGCCTGGTGGCAAAGGAGATTGTGAAAAGGGATCCAAGCTGCGTGGGATGTAGAAAGAGTCAGTCAGGTATGTTTTCAGTTCCTGAAACAATATTTGTGAGGAACATCTTTAAACTTTCAGACAGACTGTGGCAAACTGTGGGTTATGAGTTGCTTAAAACCATGAGTCTCAGACTGTGCTTTTCCAGTTGTTTAGTTTTGTTTGGGTGTTTTGGTTTTTTGGGGGGTTTGTTTTTTTGTTTTTTTTTTTTTTTTTTTTCTTCGAGTTCCACACAATCTGTGTGTGGTAGAGGGGAAACAAGTGGCAGTCTGCACAGAGGCTGGGCTCTGAGCCTGGTTTCGTTGAGTGGGCCTCTGCCCACAAAGTTAACTGCCTCAGGCGAGGCGAGGGGTGGCTGGAGGAGGCTGTGTGCATGTGTGCTTCAGCGGCTCTTCTGCTGCCAAGAAATCCCCTGTGTGGGATCTTCCAGCTGCTTAGGCATTTCCATGGGATTTGTCCTTTCAGTCTCCCTGGAATTAGTCAGGCAAAGCTTATTTTTTAAGGCAGCTTGCAGATAGTGCTGCTTAATCTGATACACCTTGTTCCCCTGATTGATGTGCAAGTGTTCAAGTGGCACTTTGCAATTCATTTGGTGGGAGTTGCCTGGCTCTCTTCACTCCTCGCTGGCTGCCTAAAAAGCCTGAAGTAGGAATCAGACCACTTTCACTGCCCAAACTTCTGATGCTGAAAACTGGCAATTAGGAGCAGATGCTTTACAGCTTCAGCTTGCACGTTTAGCACTTCAGTGATGCAGGGCAGCTGTGTGACCTGTATTAAAGCCAAGCTGTTAGGATCTGCTGGGTCAGCCCTTAGGTAGCACTCCCATCAGCTTTTGAACCACCATATCCCAGCTAAACTCGTAGTAGTAGGAAAGAATGGAGTGGGTAGAAATCTGGGCATGTTATTTCCTCAGCAGGAATATTTCATAACAGAATCTCAGTGAAAGTAAGTACCTTCCAAATTCTGTTTTACTAAGCTGAAACTAAAGCAAATCCCGAGTATAAGTTTTGGGTGCTGCGTTTCTGGTCAAAGAGCAGTTCACAAACCCGTCATCCCACTGAACATGAGAGAGGAATGAGAGGAGTTGGCCCTTTTCTGGGCTAAAACCGCTTGCAGATACCAGCTCTTTGAGAAAAGCCCCGCAGCGCTGGGCAAGCACGGGCAGGCGGCTGGCAGGTAGACTGGATTGTTCTGGGGCTTGGAAAATAGGTCAGTGCTCTGCAAACGCGCTGGCAGTCACGGCCAGAGGAGGTGCTGGAGCTGACGGAGGAGGGAGATGTTGCTCAGTATGTTGCCCTGCTCGATGGTGAAGGCGAGTGGAAATTTGGGGTTCCTGGCACAGCTTTCAGGCATGGACCGTGCAGGAAGGAGCAATCCCTGGCTGACAAGGGATCTGTGATGATAATGTTTGGCTGGGAGGGCAGGGGTGGTTATACCAGCACAGAGCCATTGTGCCACTAAAATCTCACTGTTACATGGTACCGTATTGATTAAAAACCGCTCCTGATAAAGCTGTGGCTGGTCCCTTCCCAAGGGAGCTGGAGCAATCCTCATCTCCTTTGCGGAAGCGGGAGGTTGTCACCTTCCCCTTAACAGGAAAAATGAGCTCAGAGGTGTTGCTGGCTGGAGTGGGATTTCTGACACTGCTGGAAATGATGTATATACCTCCTACTTATGTGCCCATGAGCCGAACTTCAAAGGGAATCCGCTGTAGCTGGAATTAGTTGGGGTCTCCATGGGTGTGTTGCCTTGGTGCTACAGAGAAATGGCTTTCTCCAGCAGCTGTGCTGTCGGGGAGCCGGAGAGCATTGGGTTAGTTTGCTGTTGCCGAAAGAGGTGAATGAATCTGCCTGTGTTGGGGGTAGTTCTTGATGCTTAATTCTTTCCTCCTGGTTCGTTTGATGTATTCTTGCCCTTTAAAAGCGAGCCACTGGATTTATTGCCTTGTGCTTTGATGCGGAAGACCTTGACTGCTTTGAATTGCCCCAAGAGATACCAGCTTTGGCATGGCTTCTGCATCAGCAGTACTTATGCTAGCCTCTTATCAGGCTTCACTCCCCAGCTAGCTGAACTCTACCCAGCACATGGTGCAAGGTCATATGGGGAGGGGTTAAGTTAAAAAAAAAAAAAAAAAACAGCAACCAAACAAAAAAACAAACCACAAAATCAACCCTAGGATAGACCCAAGGGATGTTTTTGCTGCATGTTTGAGGTTTGTACTGTGTGAAGATGCTGAATAAATTCTGTGATGACTTTCTTCTGCAGTTTATAAAAGATTCATGGTGAGCAAGCAGACTAAAAAAGGTGCATCTTGTTGTCTCTTCTGGTTTAGTTACCTAAATGACTTGGATAGAATATCCCAGCCGACCTATATTCCGACTCAGCAGGATGTTCTGCGGACCAGAGTTAAAACTACAGGCATTGTGGAAACTCACTTCACCTTCAAGGACCTGTACTTCAAGTAAGTGATGAAGGGCAGCACTTGTCCCTGCGGACTGCGGTGATTTCTTCAGCACGTGGTGGGGGTGGCAGGTCCCACACCTGCGCTGCAAAATGTCTTGCCCTGTTTTAACTGTCCTCCTTACCTCCGTTACACTCCCTCTCTACTGGCATCGCTCACTGGAGATACCGGTTTGACCTTTATTTGCCTTCTTCTGTTCTTTTCAGCTGCTTTTATGTTGGAATCGCAGACACAGGTACTGACTGCTTGTTTACAGGATCCAAAAAAAAAAAAAAAAAAAATACTAAAAGGACACTGACTTCTGGATTTTGAGTTTGAATTTAACCCCTTCCTTTAAAATGGGAGATAAGAGCTCTCCCCGCAGTCACAGTCGTGGCTCTGGGCTGCATGGTGTTCTCCACGAAGCTGTAGATGACTGTGCTGACTGACACTTGCTGCAGAGCAGGAACGGGGCATGCCGAAAGGGTGCTGGGGACTGGCTGCCTTTGTGTGACACCGCAGAGGATGGCACTTGCCTCTCCCCTCTGCCTTCTAAATTCAGTCCCTGCAGGGCTCAGGTATCAAGCCTGGTCTTGGCAGTGTCCCTTTACGTATCACTAATCGAGCTCCCTCTAACTCCCGTAGCGGCTGCTAGCCTGCAGTTTAGCTCTCCTCCCCGCTCTCCATCTGCTCGTTAGAAAAATCCTCGCTTTGGATCCTGAGCGTGCTCCTGACAAACAGCCCGGAGCCCCGCGGGGTGGGCATTTGTGTCCTGTAATGTGGATGTAGGAAAATGCAGCGCCTGTATCTCGGGCGAGTTCCCTTCGTCTGTGGCAATGTTTTCAAGTCTTTGTTGCTCAGAGCCTTTAAATAAGCATTTGTTTGCTTATTTTTAGCTTGTGTTTGAAGTTTGAAAGAGCTATAGCAAAAAAAATCCAAGTGTTGCTTATAAAATCTGATGTGTTTGCACGCTTTTTTTGGGAGAACGTAGCACTTTGGTTTCTGAACTGCCTTAACTTACAAACCGTTTTAACAAAAATGCCTAAACACTTTGCATCACCGGGCTGTTTACGTGACTTCTGGTTCGTCCAGGGAAAAAAAAACTTGTCTTCCGTTGTCCTGTATTAGGACTAGCATTTTCAGCTGCAGTCTGTGGTGCTCTTTTAAAAACCATCACGTCAGACTAACAGAAGAGTGAGCTGGAGGTAGCAGGCATGTTCGGTTTAATGAGTATAACCCCTCTTTTAAAGTGGAATGGCTGAGCCCTCGGAGGCGTGCCTCCCTGATGCAAAGAGGGGAATTGCTCTTTCCCAGGCCTGCCTGGAGTCATTGATCATGTGCAGAGCCCGAGACACGAGGTGTCTCGTCTTGGAGGGATTTGCTCCACAAAGGAAAGCATTAATACATCTTAAACCCCGGAGCTGCCATCTTTCCCGCGATGGAAGCCTTGATGCTAAATCTCAGACATTAATAACGGGCTGAGGTAGCCTTAGTATAACTGTGACTCGAATTTGGATTAGCTTGGCGAAGCTGAGTTGTCGGGGATGCTCTTCCTTTCCAGATGTCTCTGCGCTAACAGCAGAGAGTAATGGCAAATGACACAAGCTAAGTAAATAGCCTGTGTCCTCACAGAGATTTTCATCTTTCCTCCTGTGGTCCACAGGGACGGTTTACGTTTAAACAGAAGATTGGAGTTAGCTGAGCCGCACTTCTGGCTGCCTTGTTTGGCATCGTTAAATTGCATTGCTTTTGGCCCACCCTGGGCAGTTTCTCTCTTGTCTGCCTGTTTGCTCTGATAACAAATCAATGTTTACGATTTTCATAGCTCTTGGATATTGACTTGTATCTGCGTGATTTAATTAAGTCATAGTCCATCAGAACATCCTGGGCAATCCTGCTTCTTCATTGAAATATTTGAGTGAGCAGGGTATTGTAACCGTCCAAGACACTTGCATTTTTTTTATATAGACAGAAATTCTGTAAGCAGCTCTGCAGCCTTTAAACTTCAGTAGCTCGCAGATTTTTTTTTTTTTTGATACATGAAACTGTTTCTTAACCCCATTAATTTTTTTCTGGGTCCCAGAAGTAGCATGCAGGTAGTATGTTCCAGATAATCCTTTGTCAGACGCAGCGTAAATTAACTGGAAGAGCCGACTATGAGTAGGTGTTTGGAGTCCAGTCAAGCAAATGGATTGTTGCTAAGGAAATAGGAGGCAGAGAACAAAATAAGCATGCCCTGGTGAATCAGCAGTCTTCTGGGTAGCGATGTAGGTAACATCTAGTTCTTCCTGCTGAAATCGCTCTAAAGAAAAGAATTCTGGTTTTAAAATCCACCCTCCTGAGAAAGGGAGGGCTCGGAGCTGTTGGCCTTGCTGATGGAAGGCTGTGTACCTGCTCTCCCCTAAACCCTGCCTTTTTGGAAGCCCTTAGCTGAGCCTCCTCCATCCCCTGAGAACGGCGTGGGGGCTGGGGAGGGAGGTCGCCGTGGCTTCTGAGATGGTTCTTCTGCCCCTCCCAGGATGTTCGATGTTGGTGGCCAACGGTCAGAGCGGAAGAAGTGGATCCACTGCTTTGAAGGTGTGACAGCAATTATCTTCTGCGTGGCCCTCAGCGACTACGACCTCGTCTTGGCCGAGGACGAGGAAATGGTATGTTATGGAGGAGTTACCAGTGCCTGGCTGCGTGGCACGGGAGAAGGGAGGTGGAATCATGGCGTGGGCACGCTCGCTCCCCTTGTTACAGTTGTCCAAGGGCTGTGAAGATGAGCGCTTCCTTGCAGCAGCCTGCACTATCTTGCCCCAGAAACTGTTCAGCATAATGCGTAAATGAGATTTTTTTTCTTCAGGCCCTCGTTACAGGGAGGTCCCTGCAGCCTGTTCCCCGAGGTGTGAGTACCTCTGGGGGGGAACACGCGCGTCCTGGGGGGTCTCTGGGATGAGGAGGTGACCTGACCCCTGCTCAGGGTTGTGCCCGTCCTCTTCCTGGTGAGGTGGCAGCGCGGATATGTCAGCGGCACTCGACTCTTTAGTCTGGCCTTTGCAGTAAAGCCTGTCTGTCCCCCCACCCCATCCTCCTCTAATAACTGGAATGATGCATCACCCTTCTCATTTTATTTTCCAGAACCGGATGCACGAGAGTATGAAACTGTTTGACAGCATTTGTAACAACAAATGGTTTACAGACACATCTATCATTCTCTTCTTGAACAAGAAAGACCTGTTTGAGGAAAAGATTAAGAAAAGTCCACTAACGATCTGCTATCCAGAGTACACAGGTAAGGCTGGGCTCATGAAGCTGCGTTTTACTTGTCAGGGCCAGGGATGAGTCAGTCAAAGCCTACACAATCCAAGATAACTTAAAAGCTTATGTTTTTCCCTTAACTCTGTCTCTTGGGCAGCATTGTTGGGCGGTCAGGTTAGCTGATGGCTCATTTTCTCAGAAGAGATGCAGTCGTACAGACGTGTGGTTTGGAACTGCCTTTGTCCCCGTGTGTTTTATGGCCCGGAGCACGAAGAGCGAAGTACTTGTGCTCCAGCAGATCAGAGTCACTCTGCGTTTTCCACGTGTTTATTAGGACAATACTTTCGTTTCACTTCAATTTCAGAGGCTGTGAAACTGGTCTGTGCCCTGGGTATGGCACTTGTCTGCCCTGGTGTTTCAGCAAGTCTGTTTCACAGCCCTTCCCTGCCAGGGCCCCGCATGGACGTGATGCTTCACCTAGTCACTGCTCGAGGCTTTTTGATTTGTGGTGTTTTTGTTTTTTTTTTTAAGTGGTCCTTCCTTCAAACTTGCTTATTCCTGTGACTTGTCGCTCTTCTGTACGTGTTCCTAGCGTGAAGCATTACTGTAGCCAGCGTGCAAGGTTCCCTGCCAGCGATCTCTGGGCAGGGAGGCCGGAGCAGCGAGCAGTCGGGGAGCTGCAGGAGTGACTCGTCCAAGGTCACTGATCAGAAGCTGGGAGTAGACTTCAGCTCTACAGGGAGGAGTTAACGGTGGATTTGGATTTGAGGCTGGATAAGACAGATGGTTGCAAGCAGCTTAATATGTACTTAAAAGATCTCTGCTGTGAACTGCTGGCCAGAGTTAAGGGGTCTTATCTTTTTCAGGCTCCAACACGTACGAGGAAGCAGCTGCATACATCCAGTGTCAGTTTGAAGATCTGAACCGGAGAAAAGACACCAAGGAGATCTACACGCACTTCACCTGTGCCACTGACACCAAGAACGTGCAGTTTGTGTTCGATGCTGTTACAGATGTTATCATTAAAAACAACCTGAAGGAATGTGGACTCTATTGAGAAGGAAGGGGCGTGGGAAGAAGGTAAAGCCGGGCTGCTCGCAGCGCTGCACGCCAGCTGGGGCTGGCTTTGCCTTGCGCCTCGCTAACGCTCGCTCTTTTTCTTTCCAGTTTTTTTATGATGTGGCGTTTTGAGAACCAGACTCTTTGCTGCCTCGTGGGGACAGCTGCAAGCATGAACAGGACCAGGGAAATGAAAACAGCATGCAGAATCGTTGCATTCTTTAGCACAATCTTCTGTATTAGGGACCTTTTTATTGATATGATGGGATGTTGAAGTTAGGTCAAGGTGGAACAACTGTTAGTGTGACTAGATCATCCTGGCATCGTTTGGATGGTGTAATCTCAAATGTGTACAGCTGTTGTGAAGTTGAGGTGCTGGATTCCAGACCTTCGATATGTAGCTTTCTCTCTTTCTTTGGTTAACAAGCCACCACTAGTCTGTTTTTAAGGTTTTTTCCATCAAGAAAACTATAACTTTACTAAATTTTATTTCTTTATTTGCAAACGAATCTTGTTTTAAAAATAAAAAAACAACAAAAAAAAAATATATCACTTAACTATGCACATGTGACCAGATCATGCAGAAAGTATTCCTCTTAGCAGGAACTCTTTGTTTTTAACACTTGGTATGGTCAGGATTTAATATTTCTGCAACTACTTAAAGGATCCTTAGAGCTCTTACGGCGATAGCTTCGGCTTTTTCTGATGTGTAATTTGTTACCATCCTGCTGCCATAAGGCTTTCGAAAGAAGCTTCTGCAGCAGGATAAGCGGGTCTTTAGCTTACGGTTGGGGGTGAACCTGGTTGATGCTGATACCCAAGTGGAGGTTCTTTCTGCGTGGTAAGCATAAAGCCAGCTTCGCGGCGAACGTGTGCCCGGCCTGCGTCTGTTGGAGAGCTGAAATGCTGAGCTCCAAACCGGATGGGAAACGCGTGCTGCTACAGAGCTACTAAATCAACCACTTTAGATTCTTGTGCATTTTTGGTCTAAACCGGTGGGCAACTTTGTAAAGGGTGCACCTTGTTCTGCATTTACCATGGCCTTTTCTGTTCAGAGACTCCTAAACTGTATTGACAAGCATGCCTTTACTTTGTATATGTGGTGCCAAATTCCTGTTTGCCATTGTTTTTACTGTAGTAATGTTCATAACCAGTCAGTACATTCCTTTGCTGAACCATTTGCATTGAGACTCTTTTTCCCCAGTTTGTCACGTGTACAGTTTCAATCTGTTATAGTTGTTGGCAGTATTAAAATGGTGAGTAAACAGTTTAGCCTTTTCTCGAGTTCATTCTGAATTTTTCCAGGAGCGTTCCCCGCTTCGTGCGCTTTGCTGGGGAGGAAAGGTAAGCGCTTTGATGGGAAGTGGGTGTACTAAATGGGTGTAAATAAAGGGTCCTCGTGCTTCATCCCCCCCTGACTTCCAGTGCTCTCTGGGCAGCCGGTTCTGCTGCTCCTCGAGACTTGGGCTGTGCTGGCACAGATGGAGGACGGCAGGCATCCCGCCGTTCATCAGGATTATTGGCAGATGGTTAGTTTACTGCTTATTTATAGCACAAGTCTCGCTGCCTCTTTTGAACCTGATGGGAAAATTACTGCTCTGGATGCCGTTACGTGATGTCGATGTAACCCGTTTCGAAGAAATACAGAATGAAATACTTGAGGGATGCTTGTGGGTGCTGTAACTGGCTACCCCCCCCAGTGTCTGCTGCGTGTCTGACATGCAGCCCTACTCCGCAGCTACGCCGAGTGTATTTCTGTTCTGGAAACTTTCCCAAGCTGCCTCGAGCTCTGCTGACTGCTTGACGATTCCCTCCTCGCCGGCGGCTTTACTACAGCTTCACGCGACCGCAGGGGATCGCTCGCCTTTTAAACAAATTGATGCCAGGCTCCCCCAGCAGCGGGGTTGCGGCAGCACGGTGCTCCCTGACCGACGCTGGAGCTGCAGGACGGCCCCCTCGCCCAGGTGGGAGGGCGCTTTGCTCGCGGAGGGGTTTGGGTCGGGGGTGGCCCCTGGCGCCTCCATCCCCACCGCCTGCCCGGGGGGGTGAGGGTGGCCCCGCTCCCCTTCGCACCGCCCAACCGCTTGGTCGTGGTGGGAGGCCCGCGTGAGCACCCAGTGTGGAACTGAAGGCAAAGGATGTCAAATGTGCCTTGATCTTTGTGCTCTTGGGCACAGGGACGGGGCTTGGGAACAGTCATCGTGGAGAAGTCCAAGGGGGGAGAAGTGACAGACGTCTGTGTCATGCGTGTTTCGTTATTTCATTTTTCCTACGGTTAAACGAAGCTGCGGGTGTGATCTCTGCACAGAACAGGGAGAGGCTGCAGGACTTGCCTACAGATTTCTTTACAAACTGTAAAGAGCTGATACAGCTCTTAAATAGCCGAATGAAAATCGACCAAGTAACCATTTCCTCTTTATCCAGCCCCATTCCTCTCCTGTAGGCTATTGCCGCCCCCAAAACCTCCTGCATGTGCTCCTGCCTTTGCTTGCCCCCCTGAGCTTGGTTCTCAGGTGTGACTTGTAGCTAACCCAGCCTCCACCTTCCCCAGAAACTCCTGGTTTGATTAATTCCGCTTTGATAAAAGGGAAGAAATGAGCTGCAGAGGGGAGGAGAGCCAGTCCCCGTGCCGCTGCTGGATCCCCCGAGCACGCTGCCCGGCTGTGCCAGGCTACGATGGCTTCATACTAATTTTTCTGGCAAGTGAACTAGGAATCGTGTGCTCTTTGGTGACAGACCTCCCCAGATCTCATTTATAAACGCTGCCTTCCAGGACCTATAGAGAGCGAGGATTTTTTTCTTTTCTTTTTTTTTTTTTTTTTAAAGAGGAAATGGCCACAAATGTGATTAGGAAATTCATCTTATTTGGGGATTGAAAGGAGGTGGGCAGGTCATAGAAAAAGTGGGGTCTGAGTAACTTTTATTTTTTGGTTAATCCCTTTGGCTCTGCACAGCAGAATGGCGCCGTGAAATTGAAGTCTCTTCCTCTTCTAGCGGGAAGGAAGAAAGAAGAGGGGGTTAAACGCTTTCAAACAACGCAGTGAAGGGTGTAATATGGTGCAGCGTGCAGGAGGGGTGGGTTTTGAGAAGCAACTGTGCCATGCACCACCCTGAGTGACGGGAGGGGGGAAAAAAATCCACCAGTTTAAATCCTCTGACCCAGGCAGCAGCAGAAGGGCCTGGAGCGTTACACTTGTATTCCCCCGCTGCTCAACCCTTGCAGCTTTTGCTGCTGCCTGCAACCTCAGGGGCAGGCACGGCCTCCCTCCCTGCCTGCTGTCATGGCATGTTTTTTTGTTTTTTTTTTTTTTATTTTTTCCTTGATGCTAGAAGCGGGTTTGCGGTCGAAGGCTGCTGAGTGCTCTGCTTAGAGAACAGCTTTGTTCGCAGCACAATGCAGAGCTGGCGGCCAAGGCTGCACCCCCCGTCCTGCCGCAGCCTGCCTCTGCCTGCAGGGAAGCTGCCTGCTTTATTTATTTTTTTCTTTTTTTTCCCCCCCCCCCCCCTTGCTTCTCTATTAATGTTCAGGGATGAGGGAAGGGCTGGAGGTTCCCTGAAAAAGCGTCAAAGCTGGTGGTTGGGAGCTGCTCGGGGAAGGAGAAGAGGAAGAAATTCTCACTGCTGCTCAGGCTAGCGGGAAAATGCAGGCATAAGAATTAGGGTTATAAACCCTAATTAAACCTTTAGGGTGATGAGCTAAAAGGCCAAGTGAAGCAGAGCGTGGCCTGGGCTGCCCGTGCCTTCTCCCTCCTGCACTGGGCAGCGGTTTGCTTGTCCCCATGAGCCAAGGCTGCCGGGCTGCAAACCAGCCCAGCACCAGTGACCCTGCTGTGGCAACGGGAGGCACCAGGATAACGCGGTTTGCTCTTGCTGGGGGGCATCATTTGGGCTGCAATCTGCTGTTTTCAACTCTCCACCTGCGAGGGTGTGAAGCGCTCTGGCAGCGTGAGTTCAAAACAATAACTGGGCTGAGCCCACCCGGCTTTGGGATGGGAACTGGAGCTCTGCAGGGGGATGCTGCCCCCCCTCCCCTGGGGCTGGTGGGACCCCCAACCCCTCAGTCCTGGGTAGTCCCAGCACATCCTCCCCTCCCCTGCTCTGCAGGCAGGCACTTCCAGACTGTGTTTGATGGCAAAAGCTGGGGGGGACCCATGTCCCATCACCCTGCAGAGCGGGATGGAGTGGGCTCTGCTGCATCTCCATCCCCCTTCCCCAGCCCTTTTTATTTTTTTGTGGTTAAATAACCGTTTCTTGAGTACCTGCCACCCAGATGCTCAGAAGAGGCCGCAGTCCTTGAGGTTCTCTTTGATGATGACATCTGTGACGGCGTCAAAGACGAATTTGACATTCTGTGTGTCTGTGGCACAGGTCATGTGGCTGTAGATCTCCTTCACGTCCTTTTGCATGTTGAGATCAAGGAACTGGGTCTTGATGTAATTTCCCGCGTCTTCGAACGTGTTGGGACCTGTGGAGGGAGGAAACGGGGCTGCTGCTGAGCTGCTGCCAGGGCAGATGATCGTCAGAGCTGGGCGAGGACCAGGGGGTGCTTAAGGCTTGTTTTGAAGAGAGCTGGATCTGGAATCTCCCTCCAGAGGAGGAGGAGAAGGGCTGGGTGGCAGCTGCACCGAGCAAAGCAATTTTAAAAAGCTGTTGTATCCCATTTACAAACACCTTTCCGAGGCCACATCTGTCCTCTCCTCTGCTCCTGCCTCCCCAGCATAACCCAACCCAAAATGCTGTGTCTGTATTGGGACCACACGGTTCCCCACCTGAGGCCACGGACTGGGGGGCTCGGGGAGGGGGGGGAACAAACCAACTCACCGTCGTAGTCTGGGAAGCAAATGCTGAGATGGACTTTCTTGATCTTTTGCTCAAAAAGGTCCTTCTTGTTGAGGAAGAGGATGATGGACGTGGCGGCAAAGAACTTGTGGTTGCATATACTGTTGAATAGGTGCAGGGATTCGTGCATGCGGTTCTGCAAGCGAACAGGCTCCTTGGCACCAAGTGCTGGGTTTGTAAATCATTTACAGACCCCTTTTTGCCGTTGCAGCCCCCCAAAACCCCCTGTTCCCGAGCTTTCCCCTGTGCTGCCAGGGATGCTCCTCTTTGCTGCAGCAGCAAATTGCTCTACTGCCTGACCCCTGCCCGCACCCAGCGTCCCTCTTGCCCACCCGAGAAGCCCCCGTGCCACAGTGTGAGGGACCCGGATAAATCCAGGCGGTGCTCGGGATGGGGAGCAGTGTGAAGCAGCTCTGGGCAGCGCAACGATCCGATCCCTCCTGTCAGCTTCTGGGATGCTCAGAAATGAACGCCTGAGGTGGGAAAATTACCTGGGGGGAACCTCACAGCCCTGCGGCTGTGGAAAGTGCTCAGTGAGGGCGTCGAGCTGCCATCCCCACCCTCCAGGCCACGCTGCACCGCAGCCCCCAGCCGTTACCTGCAGCTTTGGAAAGGAGCTGGAAAAAGGAAAGCTCGAGTTTTAAAGCAGATGTGCAGTTTCTAGTTTACTGCAGGGGCATCCTCGGGAGGAAGAGGAGCTAAAAGTCTGACCGGGGGCTTTTGCTGCTCTGCTGATGGAAGGTGGATCTCCTCCACCTTTGGATGGCAGTGGGCAGGTTCTTCAGGGGTGACAGGGATGTTTTTGCCTTGTCCAGCAGCTTTTCCGTGCAGCTTCAGCGAGCAGGGGCAGCTTTGGCCAAATCCTGCCCCATCCTGTGCAGGGGAAACATTGCAGCCTTTCCTGGGCGCTTCAAGGGGAAAGATCCTTCCCCCAGATGCCTCACGCACGGTGCAGCTCCACGGCTGAGGAAGGGCTGGGTGCTCCTGCCCGGCCTTGGCAAGCCCCGGGGGTGGCGGGGCCCTGACCCTGGCGCAGATCCTGGCGAAGGTGTTTGGACCCCAGAGCGTGAGGGAGCATCCCCGGGACTGGCCGCTGTCGGGGATGCCAGCAAGGACGCTTCGCCCCAGTCCCCTGGGCAGGGCAGAAGGCAGCCTGCTTTTCCTGCTCTGCTCATCTTCACCTCTTATTTCTTCCGGGAAACGACCCATTTCGGGGCTGCTGTGTTCCTCCCCTCCAAGCCTCTGCCCTGGCAGCTGCTTTCCCCTGGTGCCGGAGCGGCAGCTCTGCCGGAGCATCCCTCACCAGGCACCCGCAGGGCTTTGCTATGACTTTGTGCCGTCTTTCCCCGCCGCTGCTGCTTGCCGGGAGAGTGAAATCTCCCCCTTATTGCTGCTTTCTGCCCACCTCGGAGGGCACAGCGAGGCGAG